TTTCAATGAAGGGTAGATTGTGCGGAGACCGACATAACGCAACCCTCAGCAGTCGCGATCGATTGGACGCTGAGTGTGGTTGCGTCCTTGGGCCCGCCTGGCCTCTTCCGGATGTACGTTCAAGCTGTTGTGGATTAAGTTTTGACGTTATGAGAATTAACTGCTCTTAAACTGTAATTTGACTGCTTATAGATTATGATCAGTGAAGGCGCGTATATCGAGCTGATGAAAAATTGCTCAAAATGGAACGAACGCGCTTGCAATGAAAGGAAAGCTAGGTATGAAGGTTAACGTTAATTTTTTCTAAATTATAGTATACTTTTTGCGTTGCTTACAATGGAATTGTCTTAATATAATCAGTGTTGTCTTTGACAAGGTTCATGTTCTTTTTATCTTCTTTCTTCAAAAACATATTCAAGCCGAAATCCTTAACTCCCGTTATTTTTGCCGAAGAAGAAGAGATCTTCTTTGTGAAGTATCATGCTAAATACTGCCTGCGAATCATCCGTGTTCTTATAATACTATACTCAAACATGCCTCAGAGTGTAGTTTAATGATCTCTCATGCTTATCAAATTTTGTGCTCTTTTCCAGACTTCGCTATCCATTTTTTGACCAACAAACTGGTACAGCCCATCGTTTCAATCCTGTCTTCTACCGGCTCCCATCCCAACGTTGTAATGCCACTGATGCCCACACCATCGTGCAATATGTAACCCAACGTTGGCGACGTCGCCAATCTGCAAACTCTTCAGATGCAATCGAAATGAAGATGTTTCTTCGTGATAATCCTGCTCTTGATGCCGCTTTAAACACAACTGCAGCTTCTGCTCAAGCTGGTCAGTTTTATTTTGTAGCAGGAAAAGAGTGTTAGGTTCTTATATACACGGTACTTTACTACAATGTATGGATGTTACCTCCAAACTTTCATTTTCATTTCTAAGCGAACCCATATTTCAGATGCAATCGATACAAATTTCGATTATGCGCAAGCGAAGGGGACACCGAAGGGCCTTTTTGTAAGTTTTCAAAATTATGTTTTTCCAATTCATTAGATACTTTAGAATGTCATCTTCTTACCATGACTTCGATTTCTTATTTTTGCCATGATTCAAATTTCTTAATTCAAGCAATCGGCCTTGGCCGATCTTTACAGCAGCGAGGACATACGAACACTTGAACATTCAAGAGAAATCCCAATTTCAATTTTCTTCCGCTCTCATAAAGCTCTTTGCGTCACACACAGTTTTGCTTTATACGAAAAAAAATGCGTATTCATCATGGTTTTCAAAAAATGAGAAGTTCGACAGAAGGGGAAAAAGTATTTTGTCTTAGTGCTAGATTGACATTATTTTAGCCTTAAGAAGGGAACTGGAACAATTGTGGACGGAGTCGGTTTTCGCTTTTTTTTCCTTTGGAAAACAATGATCAAATGACATATCCAAGTTACGGAAATAGCCTTTTGTTAAGGGGCGATGTATTATCCGCAGTTGCGCAGGCACGCGACTCGCGCTAGCGACTGCCTTGGCACGATCAATGAAGAGACGCGCCAAAGGCAGCAACTAGCGCGTACAATGCAACACCCTGTGTCCCAGAGAAACTTTTCTGTGTGCATTTCATTTGTGAGAACTTAGAAGTCGAATTGGAGTTATACCTATATCTAAAGATTCGATAAGGTTTGGTCAGGAGTTCATTATCTTTTTTTAGGATTACAACGAGGAGGGTGATGACGACGCTTCCAATGACGACGGCGGAAGTGACGAGGACGATTGGGGATCTAAACGGAAGAGTCGTAAAGCGCCAGGCGGTTCATCTAGTGGCGGGGGAAGCACAAAGAATAAGAAGAAGGCGAGTGACTCGGGAAGAGCAGGGCGATCAGGTGCCGCG